GCCAGCCCCTGTACCTTCTTCCATCTTGTATCCGCCTGTATAAAAAGCCAGACCATCCAGAGGAGCGTTGGTACGGTTCCAGTCGTCTCTACTAGAGATAACGGCATCTATATCGTCAAATCTTAGGACTGGTGATATTATAGTCGCTGACACTTAATGCAGAGGCCCAGAGGCTTAAAGTTCAGCATTGTGTTCAGAGCTGCTTGTGGCTCCTGTAACTAAAATCGAGGCTGCTCTTTGTACCATATCTAATTTACTGGATGTCGACTTGTGGCGCAGACAGTTCCACCACACAAGAGAGCCATAGGATATTTTGACAAAGGTTCTACCCATATTTCCCAAGTAATAATTTTGGGTTTTAAGAGTATTAATAACATGTGGCCAATAATTTCCAACAAATAGTGTTTTGACATTGTCTCCATCGATCGATTTTAGGTATGTTAAATGCCCATCTCATGGTGGAGGACATGCAATTTATGACACCTATTTTGAATGGACGTTTATTAAGGAAATACAACTTTCAAAATTATTCACGTAGAAGAAGTAAAAAGTGTCAGACGATGTTGTCGACAGATATATACACTCAGCCGACAGATAATATATACACACAGGTTTTATTATTTTCTTTTTATAAGGTATTCGGACTTGTGTTAGGCTTTTTAAAAATAATAGTTTTTACAATTGATAAAAAGGGTATTATTTCAGTTCAACAGATGAAATATTTATATGGGAATGGGAACGTATTCCTTCAGCCTATTAAAATAAGCCTTCAAATCAAGATTATTTACGTAGAAGAAGTAAAAGGTGTCAGTCGGTGTTGTCGGTTTTATTATTTTCTTTATATAAGGTATTCGGACTTGTTCTTGGCTTTATAAAAATAATAGGTTTTATGTTTGGTACAAAGAAACATGGAAACCAAAAAACTAAATTTCGATATAAAAGGGTATTATTTCAGTTCAAAAGGTCTTCTATTAACCGAATAAAACCTAATGTTCTATAATGCGAAAGGAAAACATTTTTTTGTAGATTATTAAAAATGGGAACAGACATCCGAACTTTGATATTGATTCTAGCAGGGGGTTGAAATTTTAATTATATATCTGTTGTCTCTATAAACATGTGTATGTTCAAACGACGAGGTATTGTGAGCTTTGAACACGTGTTATAAACCAATCCCAAAATACAATTTAATATTTTCTCAGTTGTTTTGTGAGGAAAATGAAATAAAAAAATTTTGGAGAAGATATTAGAAAATAACCCACTTTTTTGGATTGAATTTAGTTAAGGTATATTTCTGAGAATATAGTTCTATTAATCAATGAGGATATTTTGAATTTGGACTAAACAAATGAGTCACACGAAGAAAATTCAAATTTAAATATTATTTTTATTCCATGTTTATCAAATGTATTTCAAAACATGTTTTTTGTTATTAAAAATTGTTTTATCTTTGTATATCAAATTGCCTTATTAATTTACAAAATGTATTACTACATTTTTAATTCTAGAGGTTTCTAAATTACTACAGAGGAATATAAATTTGGTTTACAACCTTTATAAAAAATATATACATTAAAAATAAAAACCTTTTTATTATTTCAATTAAAAAGTCAACAGCACCACCGACTTTTATTTAAATTAATTTCAACTTAATTGTATAATGAGTAGCGTAGTACCAATAGACTACTGTGGTGGTTATGCGCCGATTTCCAAACTGGTCTTCGTCCCTAAGAAACTTTGCTATGTTTAACGTATTTCTTATATATTTAAAGCAAACATTCTGTTTGAATAAATAAAGGATACTTTTAATTTAAGAATTAAAATATGGTATTCTTTAAATCGAGCCTACCTATATAATTTCTCAATCTTTTTATAGGTTTTCCCTTGAATCATATGTTTATCATATGGTCACACTTTTGCATTGCAATTTGTCTCCCATATCATCATCAAGTGACCCAGACAATATTTTTTGAATTACATCCAAACGAAAACGAAAAAAAATGAGACCACAAGGAAAGAGAAAATAGAAACGCGCGCGCATACCATATTTGCTGCGGAGGCATTATTATCTCCATCATTGTGGCATATAAAACAAAATGCAATATCAAAGCAGAATAAAAGTGATAGCATCCTAAAATAAAAAAAGCCTTAAACGACGACAACTAACTCCTGGTATACATGGAAACAAAAGCAACGGCTGTCGACATTATCATGATTGAGTTGGTCAGGAGCTGCTAACGTTAAAGAGGAAATTCAAACAGAAATATAATATTTTGACCAAACGGACAAACAAAAATAAAATGGAACCCAAAAAGAAACAAGGAGACTCCTCTACAAAAAAAACATACCCAGCAAACGCCATTTTGTTTGAAATAATATAACAAGAAATTGCCGCACACTGAACTGAACACAGGGATATACAAAAGAACTAACATACGCAATTTGTTTGTTTGTTTGTTGCTGTTGTTGTTTTGTGTCTGGAAAGGTACATATTTCCAAAAGCTTGTTTGAACAAGAAACATATCAACTGTCAAGAACAACAACAAAGAGACAACCACCGACCGACCGACCATCATACACAATAATCTGCCTGTCTGTATTTTATTTGCTGTTCTTCTTGGTAAGAAGAGGAGGTGTATCCACAATTTCATCATCATAATTATAATAACAATGTTGAATAATAATAACAAAAACAAAACACACAATTTGTTGCTAACAAAATAGAACGAAAAAGGAAAAACGTACAGAAAGCACAAAGTAAAATAATATCTCTTTTATGAAATTTGAATTCTAAATATTTATTGAATAATGAAATACAAAATAAAATGATATGTATATACAAAGAATATGTAAATATTGAATTATCTGTATTTCGAATATGAATACATATTGTAAATAGCAACAAAAATATTGTGAATGGTCCAGGTCAAGGATTTGTTCCACAAAACAAAAGCGTTATACTCAATGTTAAAAAATGTTCTTAATTCTTAAAAGAAAATTCTCCTAATAATCTGCCATCTTATACCAGCGAGATATGCTGATGCAATCGACTCAAGTCCTTCTTAAAGAAAAAGAAGCTAACAAGAAGGTTGGAATAGTTTTGATGGCTAAAGAAATTGGACAGAAAAACATATTACGTGCTAAGGTTGCACTTTCCTAACCACTTTAGGTTTCTGTAGGCCAGAACTGGACAGCGGCACAGGAGATATTCAATTGTCTCCTCCGTCTCCTCCTCGTCAGCACAGAGCTTGCAGTAATCAGTAACATCATGGTCCCCTTTACTGGTAAAGGCCCGTATATTGCAATGACCGGTAACGATTCCTATCATTACTCTTATTTCAGCTTTGCTCAGGTTCAACAGTGAGTTTGTTCTCTTGGTTGACAGAGTCGGCCAACTAGATCTTGACACATTAAACCTATGTTCGTTGTGCCAGAGTTCATTGGCTCGTTCGTCGAAGAACGCTTCAAAGTTCCGAAAAAGGTGACAGATTGGTGGTTTGGTTGAGCAATCGATTACTAGATCTGTAGATTCAGATCTTCGTTTGGCTAATTCATCAGCTTATTCGCTACCCATGATGTCAAGGTGTCCTGGTACCCAACACAGCCGATAGCTGTAAGTGAGTGTTTTCAAAACTGCTCTACACTCGAGGACGACCTCAGATTTGATATTACAGGATTTGATTGACTATCCACAAAGATAGTCACCGGTTTAACGATCTCTGCATCCATTATCAATCCCGCTGCCTTCCAAATAGCGAAGATTTCAACTTGGAAAACACTGCAGTTGATATCCAGCTTGAAGGTAAGCTCAAGGCCTAGCTTTTCACAGTAGACGCAAGTTTCTGTACTTTCTTCCGTCTTGGATCCGTACGTATTAAAAAGGCCTCCAGAGGAGGGTTGCTACGATTCCAGTCGTCTCTACTAAAGATAACGACATCTATATCGTCAAATCTCAGGACTGTTGATATATAGCCGTTAAGTTCTACGCGTGGGTCCAATGTTATACCTAGTCGGACTTTGGTGCAGCATTTACACTAAATCCGACGAAAATATATATGGGAGCTATATCCAAATCTGAACCGATTTCCACGAAGCTTAACGCACACCATTCTCGACTCAATTCAGTATGCTGTGCCAAATTTCGTGCAAATCGAAAGTAATATAGGGACTATGGTTCACCATTTACACGAAATCGGACGAAAATATATATGGGAGCTATATCAAAACTGAACCGATTTTTCCCAATTTCAATAGGGTTCGTTCTTGGGCTAAATAATTGACGTGTGTCAAATTTCGTCCGAATCGGATCATAAATGCGAGCTGTACTTTGCTCACAGAAATACATGGACGGACGGCCGGATAGACGGACGGAGCATGAATCGACTCAGAAAGTGATTCTATGCATATTTTCAAAAGGAACCATTTGTATATCTCATTTCCTTTTGCCTGTTACAAACATATACACAAAGACATAATAACCTGTACCGCAGTGTGGAGAAGGGTATAAAAAGCTTTAATAAATCTGAATTTATTAAAACTAACCTTCTCCTGTAAAATTTCAAATTTGAGGGTCACGTTTTTTTTTGCGAATATGGCTCGATATTTCCATAGTCTTATCCGGATCCTTTTAAATCCTGTATTTCTATTGGAAAATATGTGAAATATTTTGATCGTGTTGAAACTTGCAGATGCGCTACTTTAAATATCAAAAATTACATACGTACAAAATCGTTTATAACGACAAAAATTTTTACGACACTTGAACTTATTGAAAGGTCCCGAGAAAAGATGTATAACGATATATCGCTTAAATCAACAAATTTAGCCGGGCTCTTCAGGGTCATTATAAGCAATTTCGATTGACGATTGACTTTTTTTGCCATACAATAATCTCTAAAAGTATGCCTTACAACTTTGCAAATTTCCCAAAACTTAAAAATAGATAAAATTAAATGTATTTAAAAAAGAAATATAGTAAATTATAATGACAAAACACTCACCTGGATGTCCTTCGCCTACAGATTCGGAAGTAAAAAGGAATGATTGACCATCTTCCATGTCATATTGAGTACCATTGCCGTTGACAGTGCAGCCGTTGGCATGACCATTTGTTGGAGTAGCTGGCATTTTGAATGTGGATTATTTGTTGTTGCTGATTAAAAATTGTTTTTATATATGGTTATTTAGTTGTTGTTGTTTGTTGATGTACCAGCAGCAGTTGTGGTATGATGATGGTTGTTGCACAGTTGTTGTAGATACTTTTGGTTAAGCTAAATAAAATAAGTGATGGATTTTTTAGAGAGATTTAGTTTTAGGAGGCTTTCTTTTTTTATAAAGAAAAAATATATATTTTTAAAAAAATATTTTTTACTAAAAATAACTATTTTTTTATATATATGTATATGATTGATTTTTCTCAAAGTGATATAATTTTTTTTTTTTGTATGGCTAGACGACGACCACGGCAAACATTTCAAATGTTGTTGTTTGCGGGGGGTGGATGGAGAGGACACAATGGTGGATTGTTGTGGGGGGTCATCCCGCCGATGTTTTTGTTGTTGTTGCTGTGGCGGTGACTATATTTCACAAGGAAAACACATTTAGGAAAATGAAAAAAAAATCACACACACTATATTTAATTTTTCTCTTCGTTTTTTTTCGGTTGCTTTGCTCTGCTTTAATTTCTTTTTTTTTTCTTTTTTTTTGATGCGATATTTTTTTATAGAACAGACTAAAATTTATGTAACTTTTCATTGGGGTTTTCCTTTAAAGACTCGCACTTTTCAGTCTTTAAATTTTTGTGTTATTTGAGCACTAATAAAAACAAATTTCAATACGATTTCCTTTTATATAGGAAATAACTTTGATAATCTACAAATATTTGATATTCTTCCGTACACAAAAAATAATGGTTGGTTACTGGCGGCGACGGTGGCTTCCTCCTGTTTTTCTCCTCCAGATAGCTCTAAAAGGGGGTATTTGAAAACGGTACGCGTTAGTGCGTGTTCAGTGTGGGGACGACAAACGACAGCGACGTTCTGTGTGTTTCGGCCACAAGAAGACAGGCAGACAACAGGCACTACTAGTCAGGCGGTAGATGCTAACGAAGGCAACGTCCTCACACCTCGAGGTTCTAAACGTAAAAGAGCGCACACATTTCACATTGTTTTCGTTTTATACTCTTCCACTCACATTCGTCGACATATGCGCCGTCTCCAACTAACCATTCGATGAAATGTCGTCCATTGGAGGGGCCAGCCAGCCAGCGCCACAGCACTAGCGAGCGATTGTGTGTTTTGTGCTCTTTGTTATTAGATTCTATTTTATCGCTATTTTCATTGCATTGCTAAAAAAAATTCCTTCATTTTTTCCTATAACTACTAATCGACCATCCATCAAATTTCCCCCACAAATTTTGTAACAAACCAAAACCCCAAACACTCAATTTACCTGAGGACTCCGTTAATTGCCTTCGGTTTTTTTTGGGAATTTGTTATTATTTCAATTTTCTTTCATTTAATTATCGTGTAAAAAATGTGCGTTTCAAAATGTTTCCCTTGTATTTTATTTAACCGCTTTTATTCTTTTGACTTGCTTTCAGCACATGTTTTTTCGCAATTCCAATCAATTCTCTGTGATTCTCTTCTATGTGTGTATGAGGTACCCATTTGCCAAGAGAGAGAGAGAGAGCGAACATGTGTAATTGAAAAGTAACCAATGTTATCGATAGTTGGTATTCGATAAGAGAAGTGATGAACATTAAACGACTGATAGGTTATGTTTACATTTATGTATTTTATTATAAAGGGAATAATTATCATAATTAAAGTCTGGGATGTTAAAAATAAACCACGTCTTTGATAGAATTATGTCGGTTATTTGACATAGAGCGGTTGTCAATTAAATAAGGGATTACATTTTGTTTGTAGTCACAGTTACTGTTGAAGGGAATTTGATCTATTTACCATGGTAGAATCATGGTATAATTAGGTTGTCTGGTTACTTTTCCAGTAAGAATTATTCAGTAAGTTCTAGTTCAAAGAACTTTGCAAATCAAAAAAAGGTTTTGAATAATGTTTATGTTTGGTCATAAAACAGCTGTTCCAAAACTGCTGAGTTTGCAAAATCTTACTGCATAACATTTTTTCAGTAAACTCCAGTATGTTTGTTGTTGTTCAACTATCAAACTTGCTCTCTCACTTGACTCTCTTTTACTGGATTTTTGTGTAAACAGACAACATTTGGTAACAATTGTTACCAAATATCGAGTAAACAGACAGAGCTATTATTACAAGGTAGAATACTGCTACCAACTGATTACAATTTTTTCTCAAGTTGGGTTGTTCCATCAAAACAAAATACATATATTGTGTAGTTCTGTGTATTGTTTTGAATACAATGTCAAATATATTCAAAATAAATTGAAATATATTCCAATTAAATTGAAATGAAAATTATGTTTTTAACACGTCCGTCTGGAAGTAATTACTTTGTTATGGATGAAACAAATATTTCATGATATTCACTACAGGATTTTGGAAAGAAATCATAATTTTTCATTGTCATTTCGCATTTTTCGTTAAGTGTTAAAAAAATGTCAAATAAACACAACCAATTGTTACGTATATTTTTTTATATTTGGCAGAAGAAGCCAACTCCTACATAGTTGCTTTTTTGTTATTCAACTCAAGCTGCCCTACCTTCTATTATTGTAAGATGGGTACAAAAATACAGGGTGGACAACTTGTGGTCCGTTCCCGTCTCTACATCTAGATTTTACTATTTTCTTCGATGTCATAAAAGAAAATTCGTTATCGTAGTAAAAAGTAGTAGATTATTGCAGTACTAGAACAGGCCATTGATGTGAATAACAAAAAGCATATCGGTTGGTAGTGGCTTGTTCTGTCACTCAAAAGGTTGTTGTGTTTATTTGTCATAACTAAAAACGCGAAAAAATTAATGAAATACTATGATTTATTTTCTAAATCGAGTGCTATGAAATTATTGTTGTGTACATAAAATCAAAATTTCTTCCAGACAAATAATGTAAAAAGTTTTTCAATTCAATTAAATTTGAATATATTTCAACATATTTTTATTTAGCATGGGATTCGAAACAATACACATTTAAAATAAATAAAATGGCAATTACATTAGAACTTTTTACCGGTTTAACCGACATTATGAGGATTTATTTGACATATAAACAATGGAATTGAAAATTATATGCCACTGTGTTAACGAAATCCGATATAATGTAAACGTACAATAAGAAAATGAAATATATTCAAATTTAATTAAAATAAAAATAATTTGTTTTTGAAGTTTTTGGAAGTAAATTGGATTTTGGGAAGAAACCATTAACTTTTATTCAATTTTTGTGTTGAAGAATTCTAAATAAACACAACAACTTATTTCGTACGTTTTTTATATTTTACAGAAGAAACCACTACCTACATAGTTGTTTTTCGTTATTCAACACAAGTTGTCCTACCCTATATTATTGTACCATGTACCTCATGAGTTAGTACCTCGATTTAGAAATGGAGTCGATGTAGAATGCATAAACTAAGAACTTACTGAGAGTGAATATAAAATGTTCATTCTAAAGAGAGAAAATTGTCAGGGCAAACAAACACCTACCAGTTAAGAGGTTTTATCGATTCGCCTGATTACATATTAGAGCAAAAGATCCGATTTTTTAAGAAAAATTAATATCATGAACAAATTAAAATAATAATTACAAAAATGCATGAGAATAAATTGTTTTGTTTGTTTACAAATCACAACAAAACAGCTGATGTAACTTGGAAACCTTTACTGAGTAAATTTTCCTTGAAAGAATGTCAAATTTGCTCTCTCCATTCATTCTCTTTGGGATAATATAACAATTGAACAAAAATTATTGACAAATTGAAATTGTTTTCAACTTTTCTTTTATACAGTTTTAGCACTTTTTGAGTACGGGAACCAAACAAATAATATATTGGCCTGTTCCCGTACTGCAAGAATCTACTATTTTTTACTACGATAACACTTTTTTCCTTTATGATATCGGAAATAATAGTAAAAACTCGTAGATTCTTGTAGTACAGGAACAGACCATATGTTACTAAGAAAACAATATAAATTGATATATTATTAAAGATTCTAGAATTCGAAAAAAAATATTACCTCCGAATAAAAAAATGAAAACAACAGCAGTTTAATTCACCTGATAAAACGACAATGCACCACCTGCATGAACTGCTGAACCTGCATGAACTGCTGAACCTTAATAATACATTTATGAAAATAACATATAATTCATATCCGGAATTTGTTATTTCGTTGTTATTATTAAAGAAATAACAAATTTACGCCTTTCTTATCAGGATGCCAGACAACGAAATTCAATATTTTTTTTCTATATTTAATATTCATATAGAAGACTGGGTCAAATTTGTTGTGAAAAAAAATATATATTTGCAATTTTTGTTATTAATAGTAAAAACTATTCTTGTAGTATGGGAACATACCAATTGTAATTAACATTTTGTCGAGTATAAATGTAGGGTAATTTTATAGGGTTTTTCGTTACGGGAAATGCTATAACCATGGCATGATGATGCAATAATAAGGTGATGTATCGAAACAAAAACCTTGGTTTTTGTCAAATTTTTCCTTATAATATTTCCATGGTTTGCAACATTGCATATCAAATTCAAGTAGAAATTACCCACTTTGGCAGTTAATCGAGACATCAGCTGATCTAAATGGACTACCTATTTATTGTGCCATGCATGGCATAATTATTCAAGGTAGTCTTTTAAATAAAGTGAAAAATAAATTCCATAAAATTTCATGTATGTCGATTGGCATATTTTCAATAAATTAAACAAAATATATTTTCTAAAGCTGAACATTGCCCTCAAAATTTAACCATGAATGTTACAAATTATATATTAAAGTTTTAGAGGCAGGAAACTTCAAAATATTTATAAATATAAATGATTTAGCAATTCTCGCTACTGAGCACATGATATGCGTATATTTCCAAGAAAGTTATTTTCATTTACATTTTGAAAAATGAATGCTGCAAAAGGCAAATTTATAAAAAAAATGTAGAAAAATATGACTGCATGAGACTACTTTGTATAATTATGCCATG